TTGCGTCAACTACGTCGCGAGCGTCCTCGTGTGGATGGGCCTTTACACTGTTCACTGAAAAATGGAATCGTCAAGTTGATGCTAAAAAGTAAAAAAATTTCTATAGCTATAGTTTCAGCCTCCGAATAAATAATAGTTCAAGGTCGAAGGGTTATAATATGAGACTATACTATTTGTTATCGTTTTAAAATAAAAAGCGGGAGCTATACGTGCATTTCGTTTTAAAAAAATTCTCTATTTTAGAAGAATAAAGTGGTCAGAAAGAACGTTTTTTTTTTGTATACGCAGATATTTGATTGATGTACTGCAAGCATAAACATTTATTACACACTTTATCAGACAGATCAAGAAAATAAATAATTAATTATATTACAATAATTATTAATTTTAAATACATTTTCCAAAAATCAATCAAAATAAAAACTGAAATTTTCCGGAAAATCTTGTTTGGAGACAATTTGGTGCCCCTCTGCGAGCGGCGCCCGGGGCATCATACACACCCTTTCCCCTCCTCCCGTCACTACGCCACTGAATGCCTTAAGAAAAAATAAAGTTTTGCATAAAATTTAGTATTTTTTTTTTAATTTAATGATATTTGATATTCCAATTTTAAAAATAAAATACTTGACTAAAATGTGAATAACATTTTAAGAAATTAAATGTAGGATAAAATTGTGTAAAGCAATGGGCACAATAATAAAACTGTTTAAACGTTTAAAGCAATGCATGCAAGTCATCCAAAATTAAAATGTCGGACATACATCTCTTTCCTGAACGGAACATTGAAAGGCGTGTTAACTGTGCTTTACTGTATTTTCTCCTTTAATTTATGCAGTTTTAAAACGCATCCTGGTCTCGGTCACAGAGTATTCTTCCGAAAGAAACGCAATTCAAATAAATAAAATCAAATTCTGGAAAATTTATAATAATATTGATACATGTATTTAAAATGCGCAGTTCGAATAAATGAATAAAAAATTTTAAAACAATTATCTGAAGAGACAATGCAACACAAATGATTAAAATAAAAGTCTAAAAATTACCTAAAATAATAACTATGACTGAAAAATATAGTAAAAAAAAAACTAAATAAATGATGCACCTTTTATTTAAACTATGCAGTTCGGATGAGTAAATATAAATTTTTAAAACAGCTGTTTGAAAGAAACCATGCAACTTAAGCAATTAAAGTGAAATTCAAAAAAGAAAAAAATAATAATAATAACAATTACAATTAAGAATATAATATAAAGAACACTATTTGAAAGAAAGAACTAAGTCAATTTTTTACCTCTCACACACAATGTAAAAAGGGAAAGGAAAATAGGTTGCCATATATTAAGAAGTTCGTCCAGTGAACTATTCTTAGCGCAAACTGAAAAAAAGCAGCAAGATAAATTTTTGAATTTCACCGTAAATTTCGCACCAAATTTTACAAAATTTAATATTTAGGCATAATTTGAATAGCAGAATAGAAATATGAGAAAAAAAAAAAGGGCATGTTATTTCAGAAAATGTCCGATAATGTGTCAAATTTCCTATGCTAGAATAATGCTATACAGTCAAAAGTCGTTAATTCGGACACTCATAATCCGGACCTCAAAGCTACAAACTTCCTGCGCGTGCGTCGCGTTGGCGCATGTGCGTAAGACCTTTACGGCTGCGAATATGCGTGTGCGCATAAAACGTTTACACATGCGCGTTTAATGTATAATGGACGGTATAAGCTAAGCTAAAATTATCTAATTCAGTTAATGTTGCAGATTGCGTTGTTCCTTAATCTTCGAATTGGATCCGACTTATTATTTTTTGCAGACTGTTATAACAATTTTATAAAAGTAAGCTTGAACTTTCGATTATATCAAATAGAATTTCTGATATATATTTGCTAATATGTAAAGGATCTAAAGCGAAAGTATGTTTCAAAATCCGAAATCTGTTTATCAATTCCATGCTGCTCGGCGGGGGTAACGCTGTGGCGCGCAATGAATTGGAAGTTGATCTGTCAGCACTATCCTTATCTTCAAGGGCAGATGTTTTTATTTTATTTGGCTTATAATTCCTTACTAAATGTAGTATTTCATCTCGATGTAGTCCGTCTTTGATATGATTTAAAACAAGTTCCTCATCATTATAATTCGCTTCCGATAGTGAAGAAAGTGACAGATGTTATTGAAAACGAAAAAATTTCGATTGACAAATTAATCGGTATTCTCGACACAGCAGTTATAGGACTTGAACAGCGGAACTTTGTAACTAAACAAGAAATTATGTCTGTTTAATAGAATTAAAGAGAAAGTATTATCACATGAAATGAAGCAACTTAAACAACTTACATTGAAAGAAATGTTTAATAAAGTAAACAACTAAATATTAAGCTTTTTCTTTTTGTAAATTTTGATACCCTTTAGATCATAATTGTTCTTTATTTCATAAATTACGGTTTCATATTTTTAACTTTGTAATTTCTGCATGCCATCTTACCAGATGTAAACTGATGATCTATAATCCGGAATTGCCAAAGTCCCGATGAGTCCGGATTAACGACTTTTGACTGTATATAATAAGTCGCGCTTTCGAGACATGAAAAACGCAGTTTGAATTTCGTCAATCAGCCGAGAAGAGCGGAAGATATAGAACTGTCCCACCTTTTTTTTTTTTTTCTTTTTTGCACAGTGTACTTAATGCAGCATTCTGTGTACTTCAAACCACCTTGCAAATTTCATGTTTTTCTACCATTATACTGTACACAGGCTGTCCAGGAAAGGAGTCATTGATTTGAAAATTAACAATTTCTAAAAGAAACATTGATAGAACGAGCTGTATATTTATTCTGAAAGCTGGAAGACGTTTATATAGAAGTTTCGAAATAATAGTTACAAAAGCTGACAACAGATGGTGCTGTACGCTGGCGATTTTGAATGGAATCATGTCTATGCTGTTTCACAGTGTTTTCTGCGTCCTAGAACGCTTCAAACCAGTCTCTGCTGCAATTCTTCAAACAGATTTCCACGGAATTTGCTGAATAATTACAGACACAGTTGCAACATTTTCAGTAGTAACTAGAGTCTGCCTGCGACCGATACTCCTTACCAGATCATCGGCCACACTGCCTGTATGTTGGACTTTAGCGAAGAGTTCGTAAACAGTTCTCACATCAGTCCTTTGGGAACATTCAATCGTGTTTGAAAACTACACCTTGTTGCTATAGGATTGTGATCTAACCTCTAGTATTCCAGCAGCAGAAACACATGTTGTTCAAGGGAATACATGATTCATAATTTCAACCTCTTCATTCCATATGTTAACTTCCTTTCACGTTTCAAATGTGTAACTGATTGCTTTTACGTCTTTTGGAGTGCTGTTTATATGCACTATGTACTGCAATTATGGGTCACCTGTTTGCAGTTTTTGTAACAATTATTTGGAAAGTTCTGTATAACAATCTTACTGACTTCACAATAAATATACCACTTTTTGCTACCATTATACTGTATACAGGCTCTATCGATCTTTGTTTCCAAGATTTTTAATTTTGAAATCAGGGACTTTTTTGCTGGACACCCTGTATGTACAATACATAAGATTCTTTTTGCTTTCTTCCTTAGTGAAGTAATTTTAATAGCCATTAATATGTTTGCTTCCCCAAAAAGTATAACTCCCTGCAAATCCTTTTTGTGTAGACTATACTTTCTTACACCCATTTGCTTGACAATTTTTTGTTTTTTGTTTTTTAATATTTAAGGACTTTGGACCATATACAAAGTTCTGAGGTTCACTAAATTAATACTAAATACTTAATTAATACTAATAGTTCACTAAATTATACTTAAAATTGCCATCAAGGCAAATAAACTTACTACGGTTATTCTTATGGTAGGGGTAGGAAATACATACAATAGGCCAAAATAAAGTCGGTAACAATACAATAACCCAAAATACAATAGGTAGCAAAAATTATCAAAGTGAGGGTAAGCATGCATTATGGGATTATTGGTAGTGGATCACTTTGGAATGAATGTCGATGACTTTGATTAAGTGTAATAAAAAAGCTCTATAAATCCACATTCAATTCCTACTCATAGCAAATTTTTTTTGTAGGATTTTATTTATATATTTAGATTTTCCCTTTATTATTTGATTTTCTATCTCCTTTTTCTGTGTATGTGCATCATCGCATTTTAAATATCTTTACAATTGCAGAAGTCTACAGCCCTACTTAAAAGTGAAAAAATATTTTTTGAGTTCATTACTCTTCTAAAGCTTAACAAAACAATTATATAACTTAATTAAAGGTTATGCAATAGAACTGATAAATGAAACATTTTCATTATTAGTACTACTTTTAATAAAACAGACCAGATTGCCCCCTCTAACAGCCAAACTTTCCTTCCTTTGCTTGAATTTATAATTTCTTCTTTGAATCACACTTTTTAAAATACTGTTAACAAGTTAAAATAATAAGGGAAAGATGATATTTGACAAAAAGCCTTTTTGGATGTTTAAACTGAACAGCCCAATTAGAAAAATATCTTCACATTTTGAAATACTAAATAAATAAAAATAAGAGAAATTTTAAATCCTCAAAATGCTATAGTAATTTGAAAATAAATATACTTATTGCTATATCATTCCCACAATCCCATATTGATAAGGAAATATTATTCAGATGATTATTTTAAATTGGTGGGACCCAGAATTAGCTAAGCTGCTGCAGGCTCACAGCACCATATGTTAGATAGGTTAGAAAGTGCTGTCTCATTACTACCTGTGTCCTTTGATGGTGGTAAATGACTTTGGAGGTCGAATGATGTCTGTGTAGGAACCAAACCCTGTATCATTAATCCCAAAATGCCTTTTACTTTTGCTGATATTACTTGGCACAAGCACTGACCGATCATCAAGGCCACTCTGAGTATAGCAATTAGCATTATTACACAAAGTATAATTAAGAACTAAATAAATGGAATAGTAATATTTAGTACAATAAATAAGATTTCTTACGTGTAAATAAAATACATTTTAATAAATTATTTTACAAGTATAAATAAATAATATTTGACAGTTTTACAATTATCACAACAAAGTTTTGGCTAGCTTAGAAATGGAGATTTAATATTTATTGAGGAAACTGTTTTCTATTGCATTGACTAATTTTTTCCATCAGCTTATTTTCATTATATAACTTTTCAGATTCTGAGGCACCACCAATGCATTCACCATTAATGAACACACGAGGGACCTGAAATAAAATTATATATAATAAATATAAAATACCTTATATTATGTTTCACGAAAATATCTTAGAATAGTAAATATTTTAAATTTATTCTGTTTACTGCAAGTAAATATTTTATATAATTAAAATGGAGCACATTTCATCCAATTAAAATACTATATAAAATAGATAAATATTAGCCCTCCTGCCCAGAGATATGCATTCAATTTGCAATTAAAAAAAATAATAATAGTAAGGAAAGTAAGCCTTTATTTTCAACTAACAGATACCAAATACAATACTTTCAAGGCTTACGAGAGGTCAAATCACTGCACACCTGAGTCTGATGTCTGCTTGTACGTGAGCTTTGAGAACTGCACTAATACACTGCCATAATAATAAAAATAATTATATAAGAGAAATTACGCTCAGTCATAAAATGAGAGCCTTCAACATTATCTTGTATGAAAAGGGTAAAAGGAACAATTGTAAAGCAGTAATATATTAGGCCTCTATTTCTGACCAGTACTCATTCAACATGCTCTATACTTAACATATGATTATCCATAAATTTTAACATTAATTTACCGGAAGGGTTTAATTGCTATTTTATATTTTAAAACAAAATAATATAAAAAACTGTAATAAAAATTATATGTAATTAATAAATGTACATTTTCTTTCTATTCATACTTTTTTACTCAAACTTGCAAATCGTGTCAACCTGGTTGCGATAATACGTAAGTACCCATTTTACTTTTAATGACTTTGCTCATAATCAATTTCTACCCTTTTTTTTTTATTTCTACATTATAACAATATTCCGTACTTCTTTGCTATAGTGGTCCCCAACCATATTTGGCAGTTTTAGATTTTTGCAAAATCTCAGCTATAATTTCTCCAAGCTTGTGAAGTGCAAATGCAAAAATAAACTACACAATATATAATAATACTCACATGTCATTTCTTAAGAACATTTTTAAGAATCCTTATTATTTTATTATAGTATATAATTGTTCCAGTCAACTGCAGCACTTTTAAAATATTAAGTTGCTTGTTACACCCTTTCATGGACACCATTCATAGACGTTCATGAAGTTCTACTCAAGAATAAATCTAATAGCAGCAACAAACGATATTCTGGAACCGCTGAACTAATTTCCAACACGGAGGCCCTTCTTTTGAAAACCTCATCAAAAATGAATAACATAAGAATACACAGCAAAAGCAAAAGTGCTAACATAGGAGTACATAGTGAGGTATAAAAACATGCTGCCAATGCTAATATACAATCACGTGAAGAGTCATAAGAACACGCAGCAAGATTTTGGTGAGATATCTTGGTTAATTGGTGATTCAATCTCAGCGGTTGCTATAACAAAGAAATACCAATATTCACTATCAAAATATTAAATATTTTCTATACTATACTCGAAACGAAATTTTATATCCATTTTTCTGTACTAATAGTTCAAAATTATTTTATTCATTTTTTTACATTTAGCTCACTCCTAAAATAATTATTAAAATTTTAAAATAATTCAAAGTTTTTTTAAACAATAATTCAAAAATATAATTATTAATAACCTTCCCTAACTAAAATAATTACAAATCTTTAAATTCATTACTTAATTTTATTAAACATAATTACGAAAAATTAAATCTTTGGATACCATAAAATTTTAATCATTTTCATAAAATAATTCTAGATTTTTAAATGCAATATAATAAGAAAACAACATTACAGATTTAAATTTTCAAAATAATAACAATGATTAGCAATTTCTCTATTATTATAATATAGTTCTAGTTGCACTAATTAGAACCTTCCATTATTATTATTCAGTTTATAACATAGTGAACATAACACTAACGATGTGACGTTAGTGAACATAACACTAACGATGAAGAGCGGAAGTGAAAATAAATTATTGCACACAAACTTGAAGCACATTCTTTAACCCTCTTGAGTACCATGACTGGCTTTATCCGGTCATGAGATTTTTTGTCACTTGTTATATATTAGCTTATAATTTAAGATAGTTTGCTTTCTTACTTTCATTAATAATATAAATGCCATTTTGATGAATGTAAGTTTATGAGAATAGTGACTAAAATAGGTAAATATACACATTTAGCTAATAAAGGATCTTTAAATACAAGTCTTCATGACAGATCCAAAAACCCGGGCTGCTCAAAGGGTTAAACAGGAATTAACGACTTTCAAAAACAATGAGACTGCATAGTTGGAATGTTCATTTACTGTATCTTTGAAAACAATCATCAAAACACATTATGCTGGGATTAAATGTTGAAGCACAGACTTTTTCACATCTGCATGTTGAACAGATCAAAAGTTATCATATGCATGTAAGAAAAAAAATAAAATTAGTTTGTCATTGCAAAGCTTAACTCCTTGTTCATTCACATACTTATTGGAATTTTCTACATAAACTGCAGTCTAAGATAGGGCTACATAGATAAGCTTAACTTTTGATCAGGATTTCTAAGACAGATGATGCCCTTTCAACTATCTACACTCTTTTGCAAAACAATCGAAGCACCATGAAGGAAGAGGTTGCTTTTGATGAAAGTGAATATGTGCATAGCTCATACACAGATAATAAAATGATTAACAAATCAAGGTCATAGTACCTGTTCATGGCTCACAATCACCCATTGAGTATTGAAATTACTAATTGGTAAACTGCCAGGTGGTAGAGGCTCCTAATGTCATCCTGCGACATTTTGATGGCCTACTATGTCCCAGATATGTTTGATTGGTGAAAGGTCTGGTGACCTTGCTGGAGTATCAACAGCATGGAGACAGTCCAGAGATATACGAGTGGTATGTGGCCTGGTATTATCTTATTGGAAAATGGCCCCAGGATGACGTGCCATGAAGGGCAATGCAATCACGTTTGAAGTCGTCTGAAGCCGAACAATGTTATCAACATATCGTTGAGCTGTTAAAGATGTACAGAGGATGACCTGCTGTTATAAGAAATAGTGCCCCACACCATCACACTAAGGGTTATGGCTGTATGCCTTTGTAAAACAAAGGCTGATTGGGACCACTGGCTCCGTCTTCTCAAGACACGGACACGATGGTCATCTGCTTCAAGAGTGAAGCGAGATTCATCGCTGAACACTATACAATGGCAGTCTGATGGCAGCCATGATGATCGCCTGTGACACCACTCCAGATGGCTCTGCCAATGTTGTGGGGTCAAAGGCAAACATCTTAAAGGTCACAGTGAGTGTAATCCCACCTCAGACAAGCACCGTGAGATGATGGATGGTACCATGGTAGGTATAGACATGGTTGTAGTGTGTTGAATAGTTGATACCATTGGGGTGGTTCGAGCCTGGGGAACAATCATCTTATCTTGCCTCGCATTTGTACTCCTTGGCCTTATGCCTTCATTTCATTGTCAATTTCCTTTGAAGCAACCATTGCTGCCAACATCTTTGCACAGCAGTGTCTGTACGCTGCAGGTGGTGGCCTATTGTTCGGTATGACCATCCAGCTTCCCGCAACCCTAAAGTGCAACCACATTTGAAGTCATTTAATTCGATATCGTCGATATGACATCTTTAGTTGCTTCATTACGGAATTACAATGGCAGCAACAAAAAAGGATAAATTTTCCATATCTGTTACTGGTTTTATACTTTGTGAATTGTGGACTAGAAATGCTAACTATGATAACAATTCCTGTTCATTTGCCTTGAAACTTTGATCATTTGCATGTTCGATCAAGATGTTTTTGCATACCCAATTTCGTCACAATAGCAAAGTCCTTCTTGGTGCTTAGATTTTTTTTTTTTTTTTTTTTTGCAAAAGAGTGTATAACACTGTAGGATAAATGTAGAAATATTACATTTTGCAAATATTGATCCAGACAGCAAACTTGCCAGCATTGCCATATATATATTAATTTTTATTACTGGCACACTAATACAGCCTTTTAAAAAACATTTACATTTTTTATATTGTTGTGACAGGAAGAAAACAGAGGCACCATTGTCTTAACAGCAAGAGAATCAAAAGCGGCATGCATAGTTATCCAATATGACAGTTTATTAAAAGAAAAAGTTTCAGTTTATATTCTGAATTAGCTACAACAGCAGCTTTATACAAGTCATATGTGTGGACTGATCTAGAAATGATGGAATGCAGAAAAAGTTATTACAATTTTTAGAATAGAGAGACGGAATACCCAAACTAAAAATATGAATTAAGGAGCTATTGCTAATTTAAAGCATAATTTATAGTTACACATATTTTATCTCATACACACAAACATATATCTAAAATATAAAAAAATATGATCGCTTTGCTCTGCGCGAACAGGCAACCTCGAATTAACTTTCCGCAATTTCAGGATCTTTTCCCTAGACTAGTACTTTTGGGAACATTCTTGCACGTTATATAACCGATAATATAAATACTGTATGCGCCATTTTTCATCAGACTGCTCACTTCTACCGCTGCTACAAGACCTTGCTGCTGTTCATCCCATCTTTTTCTTCCCTTTGTTAGAACAGTTATGACGTAGAAAGTCTAAATTTAATCTTATTTAGTTTAAATCACTATTGAACATGTAATTTGGAGAATTTCATCTAAAGCCAAATTGATCTATTGTAAGAAATAAATAAAGATGTGGAATCTAAAAAGCTAAATCCTTCTTTGTCGTCATTTTGCAGTCTTCCACTCAGCCATAATAACACCCGGACTATGATGTAGTTATATTGTCAAGCTTTGTCATTACTGTGCTTGTCCGCCAAAATATTACATATATACATGTACACATACATAAACTGGGAAAAAGAAGTAATAAAATTCAATACTTACTGTTCTAGCTCCTGTAATTTGATGTAAAGCATTCTGGAGACTATTTCCATCATCTCTCTTATCAAGTTCAATTGAAAGATATGCAATATTATTATCAGTAAACAACTGCAAATGATAAAAACATTCATTCAATTTAATTTTACATACAATGACTTTTAAATATATGACCAAAAAAATTTTTTTTAAGGTTTGATTTATTAGACAAAGTACTCTAAGGCTATCTGCCAAAGGACAGGTACCCCTGATAGGAGGAGTTTCGATGGAAACTGGTTCATATTTACACTAAACATGTGAAAAATAACACAAAAACACCTACAATGGCTCCCAAAATGTTTGTATACTTTAATAATTTGTATGAAAAGTCCTGAAGCCTGGAATTCAATTCGAATATAAAGCCCATTATGATAATGTATGATTTTTTATACAGTAAGCAAGCAAAGAATAAAGGTTCTTTGCTTGCTTACTTCATTATATTTTATTTCATATTTAAAAATAGCTCGTAGTCATAAGGAAACAACTAAAATTGATCATTTTTATCATTTAAGAGTGGAAAATCGACTCAGGATATAACTATATTAGTAAATTTATACCCTTCTACAGTGCAGTATGTGACAAACAATTTAAAGAAGAAACTTGGATAAAAAATAAAGTAAGAAGGGGTTGTCTAGCAAATTTAATTCAACCTGATCAGAGATTTATTGTTAGAATATCTGTGAAAAATTCACTTTTGAGTGCTGCAAAGCTTTCTACATAATTGACTGAAAAATTTTCTACTTCAATTTCACCTGAACTGTTCGATGACTGGATTACATAGCCGATCTGCTCAAAGAAAATTTTTTGTAAGTGCAAAAAATAGAAAGCTCGGGATTTCCTTCATAAAATCAATAGTAAATAAGCCCAAAGCATACTAGAATCATACCTTCTTTGCAAATAAAAGCAAATTTAACACTTTTTTTTCTCCCTACTGGACTCATAATTGTATGGAAAAGAAAAATGAGGAACTTAATCTTTTGAGGCCAGGGCTTTGGTAGCAGTAAAAGCCTTGAAAGGACGGGGAATCTTGAACTGAATTCAAGATTCAAGAACTTTTCCCCTTTTAAGAAATCACCTCCTATTTGCAACAAAGATTCTTGTGTGTAGTTTAATGGATTCTCAGAGAAGTGCATCTATGTCGCAAAAGGAAGAGAACTGTGGGGATTAGTGACCAGACTTCAAGATGCTTTTTGTCACTGAGAGAAAGTTTCATATTACAGTTGTTCTGGATTGAGACTACTGGGATTTGTGTAAACCTCCGTTGAAGTAAAAGCCATTTTTTATATTATAGGACATTACTTTCATTTTTATAAAATTTTGGTTTGAATTTTAATTTACACTGCAAAACTATGTGTCTTTACTAAGTGGTTATAATAATTATTTCTATTGTATTATATTAATATTATGTCAAAAAATATTTCAACTATTTGATTATTTCCTTGGACAATTTAAAATTTAACCAGTCTTCATCTCGATCTTTTTTTTTTTTTTTTTTTTTTTTTTTACTGTTAAATGTCCTTTAATTTAAAATTTGTTTTGGTATATATTATCTTTGAACTTTCTTCCATACAGGGAATAATTAAAAAATAAACGCTTAAAGCTATAGAAATGATTAAAAATTAAAGTTCAGTGGAACTGATAAAATTATGCTCTATAGGCACAATGAAATTTTAATTTTACATAATTGTTCAAAATCTGCTTGATAAGATACTATTTAAGGACGAAACTTTCAGAAAATTCGAATATAACTGGTTTAATTAAGAATAATTTTATTTTATTGTAGGCTGTTAGTACTGCAAGGTCCAATTACATAAGTGCTACTAATTAAAATTCAGTTCTTTTCCAAAATTAATGCATAATAAAACAGAAGCTCAAAAACTGTTTCTTAGAATATTTTAGTTTTAAAAATTTGAAAAAAAAAATTATTTAATCATGTACCATTTTATACTGTTTATTGAAAATTAGTAAGTCATATATTTCAAGTATTAAGAATAGAATGAATTTAAGTCATTAAAAATGTCAAATTATTTAGTATGCAAACCCATAATTCAAAATGTAAATTTCATTTGTCTTTTTTTTTCCATTTGTCTAAAACTAAATTCTCAGCCTCACTAAGGAAACGTGTTCACTCGGGTATCAAAATTTAGGTAATTTCTTAGTGCAAAGAGTTTTTCAAATTGAAGGGAAAAAAATTTTTTGTTATGCATAGTGTCTGCAAAAACTGGGGACAAAATTACACGATAATTAGTTGTTGTCTTCAATACTGTATTATGTTATTCTATATTATGCTAAATAATTTAGCACATTAAGAGAAATTTCCAGATAATTTCAGGTACCTGGTCGGCAAAATTGTTTGAAATCGTCCTTGCATGTGAATTTTTCTGTTTCCTCCATTGTTTAAACCAGTTCGTTTCAACTCCAGACTGTCTTTGTAGCAGCTTCGACATCAACCATGGCAGCATATTTCATATGGTGGAATTTAAATTTTATGATATATTAGCAAGTATCTTTACTTGCAGTCATTCAAAAAATCTTCATTGTCAGGTCATGCAAAATCTATACTGACAAACTTGAATTAACTGTTTTTCTCTTTTTTATTGAAAATTTGGCAGCTATGCATTGGTTTCATTAACACCTCGGTCATTATGCTGTCGTATCGAAACTATTTCATAAGTGAGTGCCGAAAGTATGCTCTCAGGAATTTGTCTTTGAACGTAGTTGCTGATATATGTCTAATGAATGAAAAAGGCAATCAATCACTTAAAAGGTCAAGGTTCAGAAATTCAGATGGGAAACGTGTTGTCTTAGAACAATGATTTGTACATTATTTGAGAGCTTTTACATCCTGTTTGTAATCATCTTTTACATCCTGCAATATACCATGTTGCAATATACTATATGCAACTTGAATATTAATTACGACTTATTCATAACAGATTTAGTTATGACTAAGCTTTTAATCATAACTAAATCTTTGTCTTAGCTATGGGATTGTTTTGGAGAATTAGTTAAGTTTCCTTCCTTGGAAGCAAAGCTGGATGTCATTTACCACTGTAGAGAAAATTCATTACAGAACCATACGAGGGTATCATACTAAAGTGACAAAAGCATTTTGCATCAAGACAATACATTATGATAATGCAGCTAGCAAAAATCAATGACATTTGTAACCAATAAGTTTGTGAAACTACAAAACTTTTGCTTCCAATTCACTTTGAAAAATGAATTGCACAACTTGAAAGACAGATATAAACATCATTGCATTCGCTTTTTATTGAAACAGTATGTGATAATGAGAAAAATATTTGAAATTTTTAGAACAAAGCTGTGTAACTGATAAGGAAGTAACAAAATAAGCAGATGGGGTTAGTCTAAGGAACAAGGAAAACCACATCAACAACATTTGAAATTTGGGTAAAAGTTCACAATTGGGTGCCCCTTGTTTTTGGCGATTCTTTTTTGGCACAATTTCAAAATGGCTGCTATACAAAACCAAAATAAAAAGTCAAAGAACTACACAAACTCTGTGTCCATGTTAACATTGATCTATTTTCACTTTAAAAAAAAAAAAATCCCAGAATTGCAAACTAGGCATTGCGTACTGCCTTAAATTTGACCATGTACACATCAATCTATTTTCATTTAAAAAAAATCAGGAGGCTAAAACAAAGTTAAAACTATCATTGTAACCATAAATGAGGTTTCATCGCCAAAATTTTAAAAAAATTTATCGCTAATCGAAGGGGCACCCAATTCTACACTAGAGCTGGAATTTGAATATAAAAATATCTTGAATATGTATGAAATATCAAATGTACAAATTATTTTATTTATATCACGATAACTAGATATTAAAATGGTGTAAGCAACCTTCCAATCACATAAATATATATTTTTTATTTTGTATCTTAATAATTCATCACTTTACATAAATTGTAAATATCTTCGTGTGCAATGCATATCCTCCCTCCATCCATCACAAACCTTTAAATTATTCCTTATTTAAAGAAAATAGGGTTAATCTTCGGATTATGGTAACTTGGTGATTTTTTGGCGACCAACCCTGCTACAGCAACCTGCTAGTTTTTTTTTGACGCCATTTTGCGCCAAGCATTGTATGCATGTGCTTTTCTGAATCTTGGCATTTCTGAATCTGGACTCTATAACAGAGGAGTACGTTATTAGCAAATGTCTTAAAATCCATCATTTTATCTTTTTATTAATAAGACTTTTTCCCCCTATAGGCTTACTAATTAATGTTTAATTTTTTATATTATCAATATCAAGTGACACAGGTTATAGTCACTGACACCTCATGAAATTTCCCATATTTTGATCTGCTTCTGTGTAATAACTGTACAGAATGTTTAGGGAAACAACTAGAACACTTCCGAAGTTTTAAAACAAACTTTCAGAAGAAAAAAAAAAGTTTGAAAAATGTAAAAAATTATTTATTTATATATACTTTAAGTTATATAAATATTATCTTATCTCAGCAAAAACCAAAAGGAAAATTATTGCTTTTATGTGCTTTGCTTTTTCTGCTTTTTGGTCTAAAATCTAACAATTTTTCTTTTATGACCTGAAATCTATAAAGCTCTAAAATCTACATAACATCTGAATGCAAGCTGTATGGATTTCCATCTTCTTCTGCACCTGCCTTGTTACTTCTATGCAATCCTAAAAGAAATTTTGGCACTTTCTGATTAATTACAACCCCATCAAAAATCCGCCAACTTGTTGCTGACTTTGTTGTTTGGATATCTTTATGTCTACTTCAATTATCTATCCAGTCACATATTTTTTCCCATTCATTAAAAAACAAAACGCTTACTTTTTTTTGAGAAATCTTCCTGAAATATTTTATGCAGTTGTTCTTCTCTTGTTAACAGAGATATGTTTTCATTAAAAAAGAAAAATCAGAGAATTGAACAACCTTGACATTATGCACTGGCCACAACTGCCTGAGAAAATTTGAAACTTCAGTGTATACTCAAACAAAACTTTTAAACATAGTTAAAATAAAAGAGGGCAAACTTTACAGTTTCCACATGATTCATTACAACAATAAATGTACTTAGTGAAAAAAGAAATACTAACCAGAATAATGTCGACTGAATTTCAGAAGTGCAAATCCACGTGTACTCTACTACCTATGTGCTATATGCACAGCTTGGTTACCATATAAATAGTCTTAGTGCACTGCCTCAGCAGCACTTTTGATACTTTTCCTGTCATCGGGACCGGAATCAGAGATGTGTATGCAAATGCATGTATGTATTTACGTACATATGTCTGGTTCCAATAATTAAAGTGTAACACTTTTTTCTGGCCTTTCAGTGGGAATGCAGATAATCAGAAAATATTGAAATTTTAGTCTTCCCCCCTTCTCAAATTGGAAAACAATCTATATTTTAGATTCTGTTTCAAAGATTTCAAAAAAAACACACGACACTTTTCTTTTTTTCACAATATTTTGACTAATATACAATTTTTTCATCACATTAATTAATATATTAATCAGACTTTCTACAGTTTGCTAAAATATAGTAGCCTAAAATTGTTCTTAAAACACAAAATAAAGAATATTTTCTGTATCAAAAATGATTAAAAATTTTCTCTTCTCCTCAGATAATTAAACTATATTAGTTAAAAACTAAGAAACACATATGGACGAATTCCGTACAAAAGTACAGATCATGAGACACAAAATGGTGGCGCTAAAATTTTATAACAGTTAGCATTGGTAGGATAAATTTAATATGGCATAAGCATGTGAGAAGGAATACCGCATGGAAATCAAAAGAGGCGGTTTAAAAAAAAACTTAGCTAAATCCATTTAAATTGTTTGACAAATAGTTTTAGCCATTCTGCAGTTGTTCATATTAACTTTACTACAACTATATATGCCAATATTACCTTCTTTACCTTCCTACAGTAGACGCACTGAGTTTTTGAAAATACAACAACACAATTTTTATTAATTAAATCTTGAATAACTTTGTTTTCGGCAGTATACAATAATTTTTGCGGCGAACTGGAGAATGCCCCCATAACATTACTTGTAAATTCGGCACAATATTTTTAAAATTCTTGACCCGATGAAGATTTTAGCTTTTGTTTGTATAAGTTTAAAATACAGAACAACAAACGAATTCAGCTACCCAACTCTCGTTCCAACGCCTAGCTCAAATGTAAACATAGAGCACAACTTTTGTTCACATTACTTGCCCTGAGGCGGTACATATCGTGTCACGTGAGTGGTAAACTACCTTCGTCGGTGCCTCAGATATCAGCCAGCTTCCGTTTGTAAACAACTGTAAGTGCTGGTATTCTGGCAAGTAAACAAATTAACTGGATTACAGAAGTGAAAAATGCAAACAAGTATTAGAATTTCCACCATAATATTTCTATTTCTGTTGTGTTCAACAAGTAAGCATAAGTAAATGTGATTAGGATTAAAATTTTGAAATTTTACAGGTTTTTTTAAAATAATTTTTCTTCTGGATTTAGTAAAGGCGTTTCTCATTCTCTTTTGAGTTAATAGTATTTTGCGATAGAAATAACAAAATTTGACTAAAGCACGCATAAAGGAAGGGAAAATTTTAAGATGTCGAATCGGGGAATATGTTTTCGTAACTAGTCATTTAGTTTTCAGTTAGAAGTTAATATATTAATAAGCACGAAATCTAGATTTTTTACAAGGTATTTATAATAATTTATCTTCATTTTAAGAATAAATAATAATTAATAGAGATAATTTATGTTAGTGTGTGTTTCTTTGAAGTTCATATGTATTATGAATTGAAGATATATCCATAAATGTAATTATGAATTTTTATGTTATTTCTCGTATGGTTGTGATATCTGAAAATATCTGAAAATGAATACAAGGCATTTTCTTATTTATATACATGATGATGTTTTCGCTGCATGTAAATGAGTTTAATCGCTTACATTCCTCCATTAATTGTGAATAGCTGAAGAATGTTTAGAACCTCAAAACTGAATAGTACCGAAAAGGATTATTTTCTATTATAAATTTTTATATGTTTTTCGAGAAAAATTTGATAATTCCTTCTCCTCACATGAAAGTAATAATTAGATAAGTATCAATTATTTCTTAATCTAAAATGTGTTTTTTGTTCATTAATTATAATTACCAAAGAAATTAAATTCTACATATAATAGAGTTACCCTGACAGGCTGAACATATCTATGATCGAATGGCTCAAATGTGTGTGATATTTAGCAGTTCAGCTGGAGTCCTTTTTGAGAGGTTATAAACTTGCTGCATGAGATTTTTCCAATATATAATGTAAGCAGGAAGTTCTTTATTAATGAAGTAATTTCTTGCTTTAGATGGATAGCTGTAAGATGCTGTGCCATAGTTAAAAGAGTTGAGGTAGAGGTAGAAATTTGAAAGAAATGTAATTAATAGAGGTAAACTAATTTTTTTTTCATTATGTTTAATTTTTTCATTAACAAACTCTTTCTAATATTTAAATTAGAAATTCAGAATTAATACTTACTAAGGGGCATAAAATGGGATTAAACACTTTAATAATAATTTAGAAATGTTTGATAATAACTCTTCATTGTTTTAAAAATAAACATAAGTGCCCGATTGTTACAAATTGAACTAATCTTCCAAAAGTAGTTCTTTAATATTCTTTTAGTGTCATTTGGCAACTTTTTAATGCAATTAGAGCTTACTTTTGTAGTAGCTCCAATATTTTATTTTACTTTGAGTATGAGGTATCATTATATGAGATACTCATATAGATTTTGAAATATTCTGCACTACTAATAATTATTAAGTATTCTTAATGAAAACAGCTAGTGTTATAACTTGTTAAATATTCTGAAACAACAAGAATGAGTTAAGTTGCATAAATTTGCAGGATTAGTTTGAGAGGCCTAGAACCTTCTTAAGCTGCAGGAATGAAAATGATGAAGGAGAAGCCTGTACTCATATACTAAAAAAAAAAAAAAAAAAAAAAAAAAAAAACCTAAAAATGTGATGACAGTAGATCAGAACATCCAATAAGGATAGATCAGAAAATTCAAGAATATTGCAATTAAAGAAAGAAGCTAAGGTATACTGGTGCTATTTATTGAGAAAAAGTATGAACTAGTATGAAAAAATTTCTTTCAAAGCTCGTGTTAAAGACAGATTAGAACTTGGTATCATTAATTAGAACTGAAAGATTTTTATTAATGTGAAATACCTCTAAAAATTTTGATTTGCCAATGCAAGATATTTTTTAAATAATTTTGGCAGCAGAAGAAGGTGTGATTTTTTTTTTTTTTTTTTTTTTTGCCATAAGTGCTGGGTAATAGAGGATTTATGTGTTTCTTTTTTCTTAACATATGTTCCATGTTCCGTTGTTCCTTTTTGTGAAATTTCAAGGCTGCCTTAGTTTGACAAATATTATTAAAGGTAAACTGCATGTATTGCACAAATTTATATCTGGAATGGAGTCTTTTAAGTATAGAAGTGTGGATTTTATTGATAGAAGAAAAAATAAGATGAAAGTTAAACTTTTGTGATGTTCATCTACACGAATTCTTGGGATATAGAAGTATATATGATATAAATGAATAGAAGTATGCCTGAGTTAATTTTGAGCAAAGCTTTATGTAACTAAATTATTTTCAGATTTTTATTTCAGATGTACGTCTAATAAATACAAGTGTAAATTAACAGTTTATTAAGCTGACTTTAAATTAACTGATTTTCCTTAGAAGAGATAAAGATGGAATTTCTGATTGATTTAAATTTTATTTCGACAGCTGGACAAAAATATGATTAAAATTGCTTTGCATTTGAATAATTTAATTTAAAATTCTTAATAGTTATATATAAGTATTCTTAATATCTGTATGTAAGCTATAAATAAGTGTAGAACTTGTTACTATTTAGCGTCTGTAACATAATTTCCTTTTAACCTTTAACTACTATGACTTAAATTGTCGCGTAACTACTGTGAGCGGTCTCTCAGAACGCTTCTGCTAAAAACAAAATAAGATATTGTCTTATTTTTTGAATAAATGTTATTTAATTTCATATATTTAAATTTTTCATGAAGATATAAAGCAATTTTTATACTTAAATCAGTTCATTAAAATAAAACATATACTATGATAATAATTCCTTCGCTTACGTATCTGGATGGAAGAAGTAAATTTTAAAATTCAACTTTTTTATTTTACGTTAAAATTTGCGATAAGAATGCTTTAATAGGAATATAGAAAATTAACTTTTATTTTAAAAATTATAATTCGAGCTGCATTTTATACATACTTTTCTACAGCACTGTAGACACACTGGTTCTTTGCATGCTATACATTTGTAAGCTCTTTTCCTTTTTTTACTCGGGAGACAAATATATGACGTTCTTTTTTTTAATTTATCGTCTTCGATCGCAATGTTTCCTTCATCGTCATTTATTCCGAAAACTCTTCTTATTGTAAGTTTGAGTTCTTTAGGTTAAAACGATGAATTTATCCTCCATTTTACATGAGACTGCACCAACTGAATTGTAAATGAAATCTTTTCGTTTCATTTTCGGAGCCAATGGAATAAGATTGAAATAATACAAGTGCATTTATTGCATATATAACCAAGTTTCTGAAGAATATTGCCATAGGCTAACGTCGGGTTCGACGAGCAGTTGAATAGATTGAACGAAGAATAATATTGTGACTACGAGTTCGAACATCCTTTTTGGGCTCTTGAATACACCATTTGAATTCCTTTTTTTCAATAAAAAATCTCTTGTAGAAAGGACAACATGGATTTTCATTTTCATCGGCAGATAAATATGTAAGAACAACAAAAAGTGAACTTTATCGGCTGAAATTTAAATCGTATCTGCTGTGATCGGTCCCACAGACCGCTGAGGGGGGGGGGAATTTAAAAAAAAAAAAGAAAAGAAGAAATAGAGCTAGCGAAACTCAACTTGGTATGTGACCTTGGACAACTGTTTTAGGAAGGTACTAAGAATGACAATACCCATTAATTATTCTAAGAGGTGGAAGCATTTAATGGAAAATGTCGCACGGTCTGACAGACCTGCTCACAGCAGTTAAAGGTTAATGGTATTTTCATTGGTGCTTTTCCGTTGAATGGGGTGCCAATTGTCAAATGTGATAACCCCTTTATATTGCACCATGAATAACAAAAACAGATTGCTGTGCACACAAGGAGAACTGCTATCCTGTTTGAGTACACAATGATATATTTTACTTTATATTTATCATATGATATATCACTGTTATTTCAAGTTCATTTTTATGAAGCTTTTTGTATCATTAGGGTTAATGAGTTATATATTTTTATTTCATACCAATATTTATGTTTTGTGCTAAAAGACAGAACAGAAAAGTGCTCTCACATCTCAGTAGATGGCCGTAGACCTTCTGTTCATAAACTTGTTGTAGAAGTTGCTTGTTACTCTCTCATTCCTTCCAATATTAAACAGAACTTCTAAATTCCTTTCATTCTTTTTTGTTTCCCAAGGTGAGTTTTATTTTATGAAACAGAAAGGAAGGAGCAATAAAGGATTAAGAGCAATTATAGCTTTTGTCCACCCCCTTTTTTTTGTTTCCATTTTAAACTGCTTAGTAGCAGTTGTGTTGTCTCAGGAGACAGCTTCATATTGCCACAGACACTCTAGTACACCATCATACTGTCTTAAGTTTGAATCGCAACATTTTGTGGTATTTTTGCGTTTCGCCGGCGCAAATCTCACCAAGCAGTCTTTGTTGGCGACAGCATACAGTATACACATAAAAAATTTTAGTTCTAAGAATTTTTTATTTTGAAGGCATAAACATATTAATATGATTTAAAATTTTGCAAAAAGCCAATAAATAAAGAAAATAAATTTGTAAAAAGACATTAATTTAAGAATTTACTATGCTTTCATGTTTCAACATCCTGATTCGCCAGTTCGTATCACGTGACCCAAAGTGAACTGATCTCACGTAAACTACGCTACAAAAATATATTTCTCTCAGTGATTATCTACATTAATTTCAAGTTAAATCTTAATTGGGAATACAAGTTTAAATGCAAGAATTATTTCAATTCGTACAAATAGCTTATTCAGAAATTATGTAAAACCACAATGCTTTACTTCGCTAGTGCATTCTCATTAGAATTGATGAATTTAACCCTTAATTTTGCCTTTCCTATATTTTCGCCTTCGGGTGAGTGGTGTGATTGCATCCTAATTGACTTAATTACCGCAAATGGTCTTAGGGTATAAAAGGTAAAAATCTTTTGTAAAAATTCTATGTAATTGTATGCCAGTATTGAAAAAAACAATCAATCTGATAAGAAATGGCTGTGACTTGTTTTGAAAATGAAGCATAAAAGGTTAACAGTGAAGATATTCCGTTTGGCATCAGTTGTACCATTATTGGTGACTTTATCGTTTGCGCCGGCGAAACGGAAAAGTATCCATTTTGTATATTACGCAGTATTTAGTGATCACACATGTAAGTATGAATTAGCCACAACATTGATTTTCTCCTTCCTGGACTAGTCTCTCAAAAATGAAATTACAAATCATGAACATAATTTCTGTCCTTTCTAATTAATTACCTATTATAACTATCTATAGCACGCAGACACCAAGGGAACCAATTTCTGTGAGGTCTGTTCCTGTTAGTTGATTTTCAAAAATCATTAGCAATCCCCTTACATCAAAGTGGGCACTCGGAAGAGATTAATAATGTTACGTTTTTCTTCTTCTGACACCAGTAGTTACACGTTATTTTCTTCCTTCACGTTCATACGGGGTTTGTATAGATTTGGAGTGAATAATGATCACAACTACTTGATGAAGTATCGAAACACACTTTGTTGGCCAGTATTGTCAGGACAGCTTCAAAACACGTTTTTACAGTCGTTGATGAACTACTATAAACATGCTGACACGATTAGCGACACAGCTTTCAGGTTATCAAGCTATCACAGTAGAGACAGCTTCACTGCAAAGCACCAGAGTACAGCTCCTGACTCTGCTTGATTGTTCTCAGAACTCCACATACTCTCAAGACTCTCAATGCTACAACTCGCAATGCACTCGACGACACACAGAGCATGGCTCCCGACTCTTCGGTTCAGTCATTCTCGGAACTCAACACGCTCTCTTGATGATGCACTAACCCCGATACACTAAGAGACTCCTTCGGTGAACTCGACGACCCACTCAGCACTCGCTGCCTGGCTGTCAACTCGATCGACTCTACAGGGATTGACTCGCCAAACGAGACACCACTAACTGACTCGCACTCTAGACAAAGCACACACACCAACTGACTGTGGACCAGCAGGATTTATATAGCTTTCGACTTGTGTTCAAGAACATTCTGGCTAAAAAAAGAATTCATTCAAAGGTTCTGCATCGTCCATGGTATATCGCCAATTTTGTCGCCAAATGTGGCAACCCTGCCTTCCCTTGCCATCTTATGGCAAACCTAAAACTGCTTTGCAGGGAAGCCTTTTTACTATGCCTGTACATTTCGTAACAATAAAAAACAGTTACCTGTTCAAATTTTGTCTAATATGTTGAAATTTTTTTGGAGTATGGTCCAATACTTTGCAGAATATAGAGTTTATTGCAGATGCTCTCCATTGGGGGGGGGATTCCATAGTTTGATGGGAGCTTATATAGTCAGCCTTTTATTTACCTATTAAGGATTCTTTTCATTGATTTCTTCAGTTTTAATATAGTTTTCATATTTTGTATTCATGCAGCTGCTGAAAATATAGATGATCCACCTGGAGAAAAAATGTCTCTGAGTGTTCCTAAATTGTCTGAGGAGGAAACTGAAAGTAATCATATGCCTAACCATTTAAAATGTGATGCTTGTTTAGCTGTAGCGTATCAGGTAACAGATTTAATATTACTGCTTTTGTTGTTATGTCAACAAATGAATTATAAATTTATGTTTAATGTTTAGAAGTATTCAGGATTGTTACACTGAAGTTACTTTTTGTTATGTTAATGAAGAAATTTATTTGGAAAGATTGTAATTTTATTTGTAAAAGTTTATTTTTCATCCTAGATACAAGTTGGTTTCAAAGAATTGAAGAAAAAAAGTCCCAAAGTTAAAGAATCTGATGTATTAGATGTTTTGGAGCAAATCTGCAATACTGGTTTCAATGAGTAATGATTATAGAATACTATTTTTAAATTATATTTGTGTATTATCCCATTGATGGCAATGCTGATGTGTGAATAACCCTATGATGGGAGAATTTGTGCCATTTTTTGTGTAGTTCAAAGAATTTGCAGCAAAACTTTTAGTTTAGTTTTCTTTGTAAATTGAAACTGAAATACACTGGTTGTAAGTAAATGGACTCCATCTTGGAAGTGGAGGATAAAGGAACTGATCCCAAATTTTGCTTTATATAGAACTGAAGGAAACTGATTCCAAATTTTACTATTTATATTTAGGTGTTGAAAAAAGCAGGCTTTTTAGTTTTAAAAATCATCTGTTTCCATCTGTAAAAAATAAGCCCTATATACATATGTATCTAAATTTTCCAAAATTTTGCATGCAGTTTATTAATAATAAATTTTTGGAAAATTTGAACTGTAATTATGTTCAATAGTATTAATCATGAATTACATTATACTTTTCCATCTTTTTAAGAATAAAGTTTATACAGTACAAAGTCCAAAATCTGGACATCCATTGTCCGGAATGATCTGAAATCCGGACGCATTTGATTCCTCCCCTCCACGCATAATAAAACATCTGGAGAGTCCCGATTCTTAATTTCCCTTCGGCACTAAGTAAAATACCTTGTTATTGAAGAAACAATCATTTTAGCATAAATTTGTACAACCAGTAATTGCTCATTGCTGTGATCTGCTTGGCAAAATCTCAAACCAAAGCATTCTACATAATTTCGTTGATCTGACGCCACCTAGGTGAATTAATTATTATATTTCCTTCATCATGCATGTTTATCAACGTGACAACTTGAGTAAGATAGTAGCATGCAACAAATTTTTATGTTAGTAATTGAATAATAGAGTATGGTAACCTTTTATGTTGACATTACGCTTGTCGATGATTGCAGATTTAAGTTAAATGCGCTAAAAAGTGTTGACGAGGAAAATTTTACCAAAAATTTCTTTCCATATCCTAAAAATAGAGATTTTGTTGATGATACTCATAGATCCAAAGATTACATTTATGGCTATTTGAATTAAGAATAACTAATTTGTTATTCACATAAACTCAGAACCAGCACCAGGGCTCACATGGCTGCAGAGTAGCAGAATTTAGGACCCACAGAAACTGCATCAGGCGGTAAGATATCTAGCGTTAACCCTCAGTAAAGCTTAAGTTAATGTGGGAAGTTATTTATTCAGAACTCTAAGCATAGACATAAGTATAATAAATAACTAAACTATTACAATTCAGGCTTAATTGTCCCATTGCGTGATAGAAGCAAGATAAAATTTAACGGAACAACTTGTCATTAGTCGCCAAGCCCATGATGCATAGTCAAATATGTATAGTGAAGGTAGTAATTGATGCCATAATTTTAAAGGTTCGGATATTGCAAAACAAGTAGAAATTTATAATAAACAGATTTTGTAAAGAGTGTGGAGAGACTGTATAAATGAAGATGATAAAAAGAAGTCTTCATGTAATGACAATGCTTCAAATCATCATCAATAATGAATTGCAAAATCGAGTAGGTTTAGATTCAGAAATACGCTACGATAGTGAAGAAAGTGACAGAGTAGTTACTGAAAACGAGAAAATTTGATGAGAATTTAGTCAGCATTTCGAAACAGAGTTACAGGACTTCAACAATGTAAATAAACAAAGATAACAGATTTCTAAGAATTAAAGAGAAAGTATTAGCCACAAAAAACGAAGCAACTTAAACACTTTCATTGAAAAAAGTTATAAGAAAACAAATAAATAATAAGCACTTTGTAATTTGATAACCTTAACATCTAAATATTTCATATTTCATAATATGATACAAATTTTTAATTTTAATTTCTAAGCATCTTACTAGATGTAATCTGATGATCTAATATCCGAAAAAACCCAATCGGAATCGCCGAAGTCCCAACGAGTCTGGATTTCGGACTTTGTACTGTATGCACATTTTTATGCTGTCATATTATAAACAAAGCTTTTTTTCTATCCAAGCTGGCATTAAAAATATCTGAATGCTGCACTGGTGCAAATTTGGCACATTGATGGGATAATACCTTAAATACCTTTTAAATAATATCTATTTTATATAAATGTTTTATTTTTGCAGTTTTTTTTATTATAAAAAATGTGGAATACAAAATTTTAAACAATTTTTTTTATATCCCTTAACATAATATATGTGATAGATTAGTAATTAACACTGTATAATTTTGAGCAACAAAAGATACAGATTTTAGCATAAATGACATATTTTTATGTTTTATTGTTAGCTAAACAGTGTAAAAATTTAAAAGAAAGTTACTCATGACATAAGTTTGTAAAGCTCTAATTTTTTTAATGTCTAGACAATTAGCCTTATGATCAGAAACCAAAGAATTCCATAAATAGTCTTCCTTCCCTTCAATTTCATTCATTCCAGTTTTCATTCTATTAAAATACAACGGCAAGCTGTTGTATAATGTCTCTTTCTTTAAGAAGTGAATCATTGTCAGTATGCCTTGCCTTTTCATCTTTTCCTCAAAAAGGCATTTTTAAAAGACAATCATAAATTTAACCAGTTTAGTTGACAAAGGAGTAGATGTAACATCGCTGTCTTCTTGCATATTTCAATAGTAATAATCATCTGAATTACAGTAAAGTATAAAAAATTGCTCAAAAAGCTTAATATGCTCAAAGGGATGCAAGCACAGTAAAAAAAGGGGGGAATTAATTTTTTATTAGTGTATCACAGTTAAACAAGCTTTAGTGTAAAAATACAATAAAATGTCAAATTTCTTTGTTTAAAAGTTGGAAAGTGGATATCAAATGTCATTACTGATGCAGTGTAGCTACAAAATGAGCTTGGAAACAAGTTGATTATTCAGCAAAAATTGCATTGTAGCAACAAACTGAACTTGTTGGGAACAAGTTGATTATTCAGCAAAAATATTAAAAGAATGGGGAGGGGGAAAGAAAGAAAATGGTACTAAGTCTGAAAAAGAAAGTAAATTTATATTTACTTTTATTTTACTCTCTTTAGAGCATTTATGATATTTTTTCTGATTATTATAGATGAACTCAGTGTAAGAGATAAGGCATTGATTGATTTGATGAAGACTGCTGATAGTCCTCAGCATTAGTATTATGTTAAAAAAAAGTCACTCATTCTTTCCCCTTTCATTGTATTTAAACCAGTTGCATTTAAATTGCTTTTTCTGATGGAACAAGCCATGCACTGTTGCCACAGAAAACAGGCAGCATACATGGATTGTTGAAGTACTGATAAGTTGACACATACCTGATAAACATGGAAAGAAAAAAATCAAGACCTTAATTTGAATAATTTGTATGTTTTCTTCCCGAAGAAAAAATGTGCAATTACTTATTCATAATTTCAGTAGATTTTGCTGTGTTAAGTAATTTTATAATAGGACAGAAAATGTATTGCTGATGAATGTTCTAGTTTTTCTTTTAATAAAAAAGTGTTATTTCTCAAGAAAATTTCTTATTCAATGTCATTGCTGGAAATATTCTGTCAATTGCTTCTGATAGATGAAGACATAACACACCTTTAAATGATATTGTTAACTGGGGAACATTTGCTTAATGGCATTTTCATTTCAAGAATTATATTTTTAAAAACTGTGAAGTCAGTGCTTCTGCTTCCCATAATAAATATTATTTTTTGTAAAGTTCTTCATGACTATTTTCTTCATTAAGGATTAGGAAAATTCAAAGCAAGTATAATCATAATGTAAAGACAGCCTTATTTCTGTATTTCAAAATTAAACATAACTTTAACTTTTTAATACTGAATCTTAAAAAATTATTCTTTTAAAAAATTTTTTGAGAACAACAGAGATTGGTATGTATTTGGCTGTTAAAGTACTTTAATGCCTTAACTCCAGCACAAACTCCACCACCTGGTTCTTTTGAAAATTTTGCCACCTGGTAGATCTGGCGCCAGATGCGACTCCTTTTTATTATTTTATGAGAGCTTCTAGGCTTTCATCTTGATATACATTTTCTTGTGTCTAAAAAATGAATGTTGTTTAGGATGAATTTTAAAAGGGAAAGTATTCCTTAATTAAAGATTTTGTAGTATAATTAAAATTGATTTGGCTTATTATGTACCATCTTAAGATGTAGTAGCTGTATCATTATAATTATGGATGTATAATGAAAGTTGTCGTAACCTAAAAATTATTGAAGATTTATCATTTAGAAGGGTTGGGGAAGTATATCTTTATATATAATAATTTTATGAAGCTTTTTACAAATTACTTTAGATCTTATAGAAAAATTTTGTGTAATGCTGTTACAGTAATCTTTGTACTAAAATTGAAATATAACTAAAAATATCAGTATGTTGCTTTCATTTTATCTGAAAATGTTTACTAAATTGTATTGTATTTTATGAATTTGTAACTTCACTAATGATTGTATTTTATTAAAAATTCAATAATTTAAAATTCAATAATCTAAAATCTTATAAATATATTTATATGCTTTTTAAGTCCTAAATGTCATAAATATAATGTTTCATTTGCAAATCTATGCCTAATTTATAATTAAGATTTTTATTCCTAAGAGAATATTTTTTATTTTTGCAGATATGGTGTGAAGCAAGTTGATAATATGAACAGACTTTCAGGACCAGGACTGGAAACCGAACATGTCATGGGTATGACACAGATGGGTGGACGCTGGCCTCACAGGTAATTAAAAAAAATTGTTCTAAGAAAAGATTAAAATAATAATAGTAAAAATAAGAATTTTAAATGTTTTTATTGCACAATATGTTGCTCAATTTCTGATTATTATGTAGATAACTAAGTATTCCCCATCTCTTTCGTGAGAAAAATAAGGAATTCATTTCAATCGTAATAAGTTTAAGGATATATTTTAGACAGTAATATGGAAATTGTGCAGGCAAACTTTCCATAACATGATTCTGATATATTGTAATTATAGTAGTTCAGTAAAATGATATAATTTGATACATTATGTTTTTATTAATGCAATTTTATTATGTTACACAGAAACTTTTGTCATGAATCTTGAAGCATAAAATTCATTTTAAATTTTGTAATATTGTTAAAATTGATTAAAAATTTATAGTTATTGTATTTCAGACTTAAGTGTTAAAGTATCAAAATTCATGATAAATTCAAGACTAATAGAACTTTAGTAAAATTATTTGTATTACAAATCAAATATTTCATTAGTGTAGCAGAACTAAACTGTAAAATTAAATCTTTTAAATAATTTGGATACCTAATAATGCATGTAAATATGATTGTAATAAAAAGACAGTACTATAGACAGTAGAAGTAGTAATGGCAGTAGTGGAAAAACGAGTCCAAAAATGTCATGATCACTAGAAGGCGCTGCTGTTGCATCTGTGCCATTCCAAATGTAAATATTTATTGAGTCGCCAGGCAGCTAAGCTTCCTAACGAATGAAGAAATATTTATGTTTTTATGTGATGGATTGTGTTATTATCAATGTTCAAAAAATTATTTTCTGGATTAGATAGGGATAGGGCTATTGCCCAGGAGACTTTTGATAAGAAGTTGTTACTGAAGTACAAATTTTTAAGTTCGTTGGATAATATTCTGTTCACTAATGATTGTACTTTATTCCTCAACTTACAAAATTAATTTACAGCTTTCATGCTGTAAGTAAGGCTTGAAGTACTTTTTATGAATGATTTATCTGAGGATATTTTTCAGTCTCCCCCCCCCCCCGAAAAATAATCCATAATTGTATAATACTTATGACTATGTTAAATTTAATTAGAAGAGGTTATTTGCACTCTGATTTTGTAAAATTGATATAAACTAAAATGAAGCTCAGGATTTTTTGCTTCAGCCAGTAAATTTTCTTTACTGTCATAATGAGTTATTTTTTTTTAAGGAATCAGATGTCAATTTTTATTTTGATATTTTTATCGTTTTCTGTTAAAAATTTTCATACCTTTGTCATATTTGAGAAGAACTGAATTATGTTAACTGTTTATATTTGAGAACTGAATTATATTTCAAAGATTTGAGAAGATTTTAAAATAGAATTCAGATTTCAATTAATTAAGTATTCATTAATTCTTCATCAATTAAGTATTCTGAACACTTAATTATGCTGAACTCTTTTTTACATTATTCATACAGTAAAAAATATAGTCGAAGTAATTCAATCTATCTTTAATTTTGTCATGCTTGAACTGACTTGAACTAACTAATAAATGCCGTATTTTAACTAAAATATCTGATGTGTACACCACATGACTTCCTTGTACATAATATTAAATAATACCCATTTTTTCTTGCATTTCATTTAAATTTATTGGATTGAATTAAATCTGCTTTGCCGACAGCGCATAAAGCACAATAGAATAAATGCATTCTTTAAATTCACTCTAGTATTTTTACCATAGCGACACCAATCTCGGCACTAGATCAATTAACAGTTATGATTTTTTTCATATTATACTCATACTGCACAAAAATTAGATCATTTAAAGAAATATCTAATTTTGCCACATTGTTCTATTCAATACTATAATAAGTAAATGATTGTATAAAAAATAAGCAAACAAAAAAAAAAGAACCTTTTTAACCAAAGAGATTTCTCATTCAATTAATTCAGTTCTCACTTGGGAAAGGCAAAAAATACTAAAATAAAATATCTATATTAAAACATTATGAAGTAAATCTTAAACATTTTTCTGAAAAATTCCAAAAAAAGAAGCGATTAATTGGCAAATAAATGAAAAATCGTTACCTTGTGTTGCGAGCTAAGTTTTCTAGATTGGCAAACCATCCACTAGTCTCTGTTCAACTGTAACAGCGTGGCCGCCATCAAAAAAATATTAGGTTAGCGGCACTAAACAGTTTTAAATGGTTTTGATAATCTAAAATCTGCTACAGATTTTACTAAGGGATAAAAACCTTAACCGGAAAAGAGAAACAACTAATTCACATTTAAAGCAAAAATGTCAATTACAACAATAAAGTACAGAAACCAAGATCACTGAGACGTAACAGAGTGGAGATTATATAAAATATTATATACTTTGGTGCGGCCAATTGCAACCAAAATACGAGTGCCACTCCATTTTATAGCAGTCTTAATCAAAATTCAACATCTGAGGATACTATTTTTGGTTATGCGAGATACAAACGTCGTTGTACAGAGCACAAAAAATTCTTCAGAATTATTTAAAGCAGTTTTATATTTTTTGAGGAATGAGCTTTATTCTTCTTACGTACAGATATCACGCAAAAACATCGTTAAAATGCATGGGATAGCGTCTCAAAGGCATTTGGTTGAAATAGCTGCCTGAACTTTCCCGATTAAAAATCCTTTTTACTTCGTACAAGGAAGTAAAAAATAATGCAGATCTTTTGTATTTTAAAAGTACGTGTGTCAAACTCTTTTCCTCCAAAAGATATGTATGCAGACATTGAGCTGTTGGCCATGGCTAAATTATATAATACCCTCATTACTTACAACAGTGTTTTTTGTTTTTGAAATTAGGTGTAGTTAATAAGTTTTCAAAGTAAATCATTCTATCCCATTTAATACCTTAAAAGATGATTTCTTATATTTAGAAAAATTTTATCACAGTTATAATGAGGTGATATTTTCTCGCTGTTAATTTTCAGTTTGGTATGTATAACATTTCTGAAAAAAATGTTTTGCATGTGTTTTTTTACTGGAAAAGATCCCCTATTTTTTATTTTAAACTAGCAGCTTCACTGCCAGCCTTCGTCTGGCTTCTATATGTACCGGAAAAATATCTGAAGGGAACACCAAACGTTAAATTTAAAAACTGC